GCCGAATCTCGCCATAGCGAGTCTGCTGTTTACCGCTTGCCTCTCGGAGAGAGTGTTTTTAGGCACTTCGACGAAGTGCTTCGCAGCGCTCATCGCCTACACCGTCTGCTTTATTGCGCTTCCTCTTGCGGGCTGCTGCTGCTTGCTCTTTCTGTTAGCCGCTGCTAGCGGGTCGATCAACGAGAAGTGATTAGGACGCGAGGATACTAATGGAAACGAAGATGGCGACAGGGACGTCTTCACACGTCTTTTTAGAGTTTATCTCTTTTCTGTCCTTCCTATCCTTCCTCTACTTCATCTACTCTCTCCCCTCCCCCTCCCCCCCTCAATGCTGTCTCTGCCCCCCTTGCCCTCCTCTTCCCCCCTACCCCACCCGCAATCCCCCACCCCCTCCGTTATCCTATCCACGTAACGCCCCCCCGCGCCCCCCTTCAACCTCCCCGCCTTCCAAAGATCATGGAAGATGTTCCCCCCCCCTCTGATGACACCCCAGATGGCATGGGGTAGAAAAGCGCTTCAGGGATTTGCCATGCCCTTCCTGCGCGATTCGGCGAGATGGCCCGAGCGGGTGCAGGAACGCATCGGGCCTGGAGGAGAGAGTTGAAGCAGGATCTTCTTTCGCCACCGTCTCCCTTCCCCTTKTTTCCCCCCCCCCCCTCCCTCTCTGACTCTTCCCTATGACAGTCTGTTTGGCACGGTTACTCGAATGGATGCTGGCAACGATGTGAGCGAGGTCGGTCGTTTTATGGATCTTTGGTCGCTGCAATTTTTCAAGTACTTTTTGAATTTTGTCAATAATTGGATATGCAATGGCGTCTTTCTGGTCGCTCGCCATTATCGTTCTTTTTCGCAAATATGTGTGGAATTGTACTCTTGTTATGTTGATCGTGCTTCTTACTACCACATGAAAATCTTTCTACAGAATTTCGGTTTCTCCTTTGCGTGTCTATTGCATATCGTCACTATGAATTTTCCTCTGTAAGTGGTTGTGTTTATCGAAACTTGGAATTTTCATTCTCTTCTGTTTCCAAAGGATAGCTGTGGTATTTGAATGCTAGCATGTATGATTAGCAGACTTCTGCTCACCTTTTAGCCATCAACAAGCTCCCTTTATCCCATCATCTTGATTTTATCATGTATGATCTTGATAACAGTCGCACCATGATTTTTTTGAAATATTTATTTTTATCGTATGGATTGGATTTGCGGTCTTCATCCGATTAATTATTTATTTGTGCTCTCAGATAAGGTTGCGGTTTGTAAATGTGTGTATATTCGCATCGAAAAATAGGCTTCTGCCACTCTTGCCCCCTGTCCTGAATGGCGCTCGCGTATTCACGTGGCAAAACGGCCTTTCCTACCCTTACCGCAAAAGGGCGTACGATGTGCTTATACCCTGCTTTGTTTGAAATTGCCTCCGCGCTTTGCTCTTGCCCGCAGTATGCCGACATTTTTAGTCGGGGTAAGCACGAGTATGACGTGTTGTACTCGCGCGAAATTCATGTGACACACACATGCAACACCCACACCCACACACACACCCACACCCACACACGTGTAGCAGTGTATATTTCCATGTTCTAGCGGAAGATTCATCTGATTTTGCTCATCGTATCGATGGAAGTAGTGTGAGGCCAGCTGCAAGGTTGAAGACTTACCTGTCCTCTTCCTCTCTCTCTCTCTCTCTCTCTCTCTCTCTCTCACACACACACACACACACACACACACACACACACACACACACACCACAGAGGGCCGAATGGCCTAGTGTCTGCATGTGGCCTTCATGATATGTTTGCCAATACAATCGGGAATTTGGATCGGAATTACGAAGTGCTGCTTGCTGATTGATCAAGTATTGTCCATTGGAATGACGTTCAGTACCTCCAGTTATTCTGCAATGGTTGGGTGATGCTTTGAGAACATAGTCTCTTTGCTGAAGACAATGTTTATGTGTCTACACCAGGCGATGCTTTGATAACATAGTCTCTCTTTGCTGATGACAATGTTTATGTGTCTACACACACACACACACACACACACACACACACACACACACACACAGATATGCTCCCCTGCTCCCTTCCATGCACCACATGTCTCTGCCAATTCCACCATTCCCCACCCATTTATTGCAATCCTCTGTGCCTTTCCAATTCCCCGCCACCACATCATCATCCTGCTTGGATTGCCAACTCGTTAAGTCTTTTCCAGAATAGATGTTTGTAATGAAAATCCTGCTTGGATTGCCAACTCGTTAAGTCTCTTCCAGATCAGATGTTTGTAATGAAAATCCTCATCACCTCCCTTGGCACCTCCTGCACATCAAGCCTGCTCATCGTCCACACGTTCCTTTCCTACCACTAACCCATCGGCACAGTCTTGTCAAATGCTAGACAGTTTTGTGCAGGATTGCAAATGCAACTCATAAGAAAGATATCAAAAGCTGTCATGACGCTCCTGCAGAACTTTATGGGCAAGTGGGATGTGGATGCCAGTGATAGGAGGAGGACGGGGGAGAGAAGGCATGGGAAAGTCAAAGGAGTGTAGTGCTGCTGGCAATAGAGCAAGTGCAACGACTGCAGAAGGAGACTTTGCGTCACTCTCAACTGTCTTCCCCCAAATAAAACATACCGTCATTAAGGCTGTATATATCTCGACTGAGGGCGTTGCCGCACGGCACACGAAATGAAAAACGAAACGAATGTGTATCTTCCCACAGAAAATGGCCAGGTTCATATGTTTGCTCTAAATAGTAACGAGCGTATTTCGCCACCTTTGGTGGGCAGATGCACTCGTTTCGTTTTCGTTTTCGTTTTTGTTTCGTGTGCCACTCGGCGAGACCCTGAAAGTTGCCCAATGACGGCGAGATAAAGACTGTGTGCTCTATTCGAGGGAAGAGGGTATGCTGCAGGAGGTTCGGGGGTTTGGAATGGACACGCAGACGACGAAGCGAGAGAGGAAAAAAATGGAGCAAAAGTTCAGCGTGCCTAAAAGGTCCCATATGCCAAAATGAAAGAGGACTAAGTCAAAATTAGAAGTGAAAGAACTAAACATGTGCCACCAATACAAACTGCTGGCAGTGCTGGACCCTTTTTTTTTTTTTTTTTTTTTGCTAAGATATACCACTGGACCATCTTCCTACGCTATCCAATTTTCTTACAAAGAAAGAAACAGATACCGAAAATGGGACCCACTGCTACCACAATAGGCACCCTTTTTTTTTTTTTTTTTTTTTTTTTTTTTTTTTTTTGCTAAGAAATACCACTGGACCATCTTCCTACGCTATCCAATTTTCTTACAAAGAAAGAAACAGATACCGAAAATGGAACCCACCGCTACCGCAATAGGCCAAAGAAAGACCAAACTCGTCCCAATCCTACAACGCACACAACTTTCCCTGTTAGGAATAATCACTTATCTGGGCCCGTCCCAATCAGACAAGGCACACAACTTACCCTGTTAGAAGTTATCAATAATCTGAGGAAAAAAAAAAAAAACAATGCTGCAGGAGTATTGCCTCGTGCACATCCTGGTATGTTACGAGCAAGATGCACAACATGGAGAACTGCCACCGCCTTCTTTCTCTTCTTTTTTTTTTTTGTGTGTAAAAACAGGGCGATGATAGCCTTCGCATATTTAGTAGATCCCCAGATTCGAGTTGGACCCAGTCCCTAGGGCCCTCTATACCATTGGATCGATGCTGCAGTGGCCATCATGGGATCATTCGTCGGCAACTGACACCCAAAAAAATTCCTTGACGACTGATTGTGACTCTTTTCGGAGTGTCCCGGAAGCTGGGGCAGAAATGCTGCTGCTCACTGAGTAGCTGGAAGTTATATTTCAATGTGGGTCATGCGTTGAACCTTTCATCGCGCGTTGAAAACGAAGGGAAACTGCGTTGAACACCCCCGGTTATTGCGGTTCACCGCAACCCGGGAATACCTTTTATGCAGGCAAAAAATGAGCAAAAAAAAAAAAAAAAAAAGGGTTGTAGATCTTTTCAATAGCTACAACCTGCTAATTTTTTTTACTTATTTTTTGAGCATTCATGATATTTTAAAAACAATCGAAAACCATACCCCCGCCCTTCACAGAGATTTTTTTTTGCAGGCAAAAAATGAGAAAAAATAAAATAAAAAAATAAAAAAATATAGGGTTGTAGATCTTTTGCAGATCTACAACCCCATGTCTTTTATTGTTTTTTTACTGTATATGTATTAAAAAAAAAGAAAAGAAACATAAAAACCAAACACCCTCACCCTCACACACACACACACACACACACACACATGCGTACATACACTCGGGGGCGGCGGGTTTTTGCGGGGGATGTTCAGGGGGTTGGGGGGGGGGGGGGGGGGGGGGGGGGGGGGGGGGGGGGGGGGGGGACGTTTTTTTTTTGTTAGTTTAATCGCACGGGGGGGCTGGGCCACGCACCCGAGCCCCCGTGGACCTTGTCCATTGAAAAAAAAAACGGCGGGAGGGCCCCCGTTTTTTATTCAACGGGAATTCAATGGGGGTGTGGGGGAATTCAACGGTTTTCAACGGCCATTTTATTACTCGGCCCACGTTGAACATGTTACTCAGGCAGCTCATGTTGCATTGTGTGCAACTTGTGTAGTAGTGCCGTTTACAGCTGAAGAAGATCATGAAGACAGGCATCTCGCGAGACCTGCGGCATAAAGTTGTTATTTACAAGTTTACAGGATGATGACGACGAGCAAAAGAAAAGAAAAAAAAGAAAAAAAGAAAAGGATGACGAGGAGCAAAAATAGCCAGAAGATCTGTGGTATGGCACGAAGCAGGGAGCCGTGCTCCGGACTCAGGTGCCGACTGGGCAGCAAAGCACGGATCAATCATGTACTCCCGAGTCCCAACCCTTGAAGCAGTTCCAGCTTGCGTCTCAATTTTCAAATCGCGATTTGCGATACTACTTGATCTTGCATTCCTAAATTCCGGTGTATTTCAGTCTCTGATTCCAGGTTGCCAATGGGTCACTCGCTGCCACATATTTGTTATACGGGCAGGAAAAAGACGGCCTCTGAGCAATCGCTGGGGTGTGTCGCAAGTCATTCACCGCCACATATTACATGGCCAGGAAGATGACCTCTGCGCGGTCGCTGGGGCATGCCAAGGGTCAGTTCGCCGCCACAGAATCACATGGCCAGGAAGATAGCCTCTGCGCAGTCGCCGGGACGGGCCCACTGCCTTGCACGTCGGCGCTTGATGGCAGCAATGACAATTCCCGCATTCACTCCCACAGAATCACATGGCCAGGAAGATGGCCTCAGCGCAGTCGCCGGGGCGGGTCCACTGCCGTGCAAGTTGGCGCCTGATGGGAGCAATGACGATTCCTGCCCGACCCGCTTCTCGTAGAGTCCATCTCCACAGCCACTTGGACAGGCTTTTGCTGTCGGGCAGCAAGACTAAACAGCATGAAGTAGACAGCATCCACAGCACAGAGGTGCTGGTAGGCAGCATTCACAGCAAGCGACGAAGAGCCAAGCACCTCAGCAGACATCTGGTCCACATGCACATACGACATGCAAAGCTGTGCTCTGCAGCGGCATCATAGCACACAGAGGCGCTGCTATCATCTTCACCCAAATACAACATACGGTCATATTTCTGTATCTAGATTCAAAGTTGCCCGAAATACAGCCGTAATAAACGTACGTTGTGTATTCAGGTGAAGACGGTGGGCAGCGTTCACAGCATGCAATGAGCAACCACGCACCTTGGCAGACATCTGCTCCACATGCAAATATGACACACAGCTCTGCCTGCGGCAGCATCCATAGCAAAGAGGTGCTGCTACCGTCTTCACCCGAACACAAAGCGGGGTCATTAGACGGTACGTTGTATATGGGTGAAGACGGTAGGCAGCATGCAATGACCAACCGTGCACCTCGGCAGACATCTGGTCCACATGCAAACACTACATACAAAGCTCTGTGGCAGCATGCATCCATAGCACAGAGGTACTGCTAGCCTGCTACACAGCATTCATAGCATGCAATGAACAACCATGCCACCTCTGACGACATCTGCTCCACAGGCAAATACGACAGAGAGTTCTGCAGCAGCATCCACAGCACAGAGGTGCTGCTAGACAGCATTCACAGCATGCAAAGAACAACCGTGCACCTTTGCAGACATCTGCTCCGCAGGATGTTCGTTTGACTCGAAGAAAAAATGGGAGACCGAGACACGATCAGACAAATTCGGCTACAGCTCGGCTATTAGTCAACAATGGGGGGCTTTGTTTGTTTTCGGAAGAAAGCTCATTGATTGCGCAAGAGAATCATATTGTCTCTGCAATCGGACTGCCCATTCGCTTTGTTCCAGTCCTACCTTCGTCTTATCATCACTCTTCTCTAAGAATGTGTATTCCCCGTCCAGGAGAGCAGTGAGTTTGGCCAAGTACCGACCCACTGCCTCTTCACTACCACTCAGCACAGCATCCTCTAGCAAGTGTCTTGTATCGAGTTCCGCCTCCGGGCTTTCCATGTCGGTCTCCGCACAGTTATCGTCTGTTTCGACGTTGCCCAAGCCATCGTTTTGCATGTCATCGTTCACACCAACGCCATCCGGAACACCATCCTCATCCGTTTCTTCATAAGCGGTTCTTGGCTGCGCCTCCGACTCGCTCATCACTGTTATTCTCTGGTCGCTGACGCCAGGATTCGGCATATCGTTCGTGTCAGCAGCATCCTCACCATCCTTTGATGAATGGGGGGGGGAAGCAATCATTCGTGCGCTGAGCACCTTCATGGACTCCACAACCTCATCGAGTCTCTCCAGCTCCAAGTAGGCTGTCGCAACAAGAGCGCATGTGAAGAGCCCAGGCTTCACCCCCTCACGCCGCATGTGCTCAATCACGAACTCTATCACATCCAGTCGCTTCTGCCACATCATCCACCCACCACCAAAGCATCAATTAGCCTAATGAACCTTTGCCCCCCTACTACAAACCCCTCTCCACGCAGAATCTACGAAATTTTTCAACTCAATCTAAGCAACCCATCGCTGTCCACCCCAATCCCATCGTACCCAGCGCAAGACAACCCTAAGACCCAAACCTAATCCAAACCACGCTTATTCCAATCTCATCCAATCAAACGTTAACCCACTCGAATTCAACCCCGTCCAATCCAATCCATTGCAATCCACACCTAATCTAAACCAGCCCTACCAACCCCAACCCGCACCTCATCCCACCCCTCGACCCAACCCTCAACCCCACCCTCAAACCGCCCCTCAACCCCAACCCACCCCTCAACCCCAACCCACCCCTCAACCCCAACCCCAACCCTCGACCTGCCCCTCAACCCCAACCCGCTCCTCATCCCACCCCTCAACCCAATCCTCAACCTAATTCAACCCAATCCAACCCATTAACCCAATCCAATCCAATCCACCCCAAAACCAAACCCAAATCCGACCCAACCCTCAACCCAACCCTCGACTCAGTCCAATTCAGTCCACCCCAACCCTCGACCCAGCCCAAATTGGCCCTCAGCCCGCCTGACCATCACTCCGACAAGGAGCCAACAAAGTCCAAACGGACCTCAACCCAGTTTGACCTGAGCCACTCCAACTTGATACTCGACACACAATCCAATCAAAGCCCCAACCTTGCCGGCGAGTCATAACAATCAACTGCAATCCAGCCCGATGCCAACCGAAAACAAACCATCCTCTTATTCAGTACATGCGAATACAAGCCCAATGAATGGTTACTTGGTATTGAACGGAATGAAAAGTCCAATTTGCTCTGCCATGATCCACGCAAAGCAACTGGCTTTAAAAAGCATATATTATATACCAAAATGGTCACGGACCCATCGTGCGTGCGGACACAAATGGTTAAAACATAAAAGCCAAGTGCATATAGGACTTCAGATGCATGCTGCCTATAAGATACCCCCCCCCTCATGTGTGGTGCCTATAAGATAACACCTCTCATGCGTGGACTTCCACGGCCCCATGGAACTCAACAACAGGTTGGTTCCGCACACAATCTCTGATTCCACACCAAACCTGTCGTGGGCCAAGATGGGAGGGAGCCATGAACTGTTGAAATACATCATACCTGAGTTCGAGAATCTAGATGGACTACAATGTTGTTGTTGTTGTTGTTGTTGTTTTCTTTTTTTCTTTTTTCGATGGACTACAAGGTTACTACAAGCGTGCGATAATTTGCAATTGACTAATTTCAGAATTACCTGAGGCTGCCGGGTTCGAGAATTGTACGTATCCCAAGGCCATAGCCCGCTTTTTTTTTCTTTCTTCTTTCTTTTTCTAAATGGGGGGAGTCAAGGGTTTCACAGTACTCAGTTTCCCATTTAGGGTTTAGGGTTTGGGGGCATCGGGGTGAGCTCATGGGGCCGGTATCGCCCAGCCCTGGAGTCCAAAGTGCCCTGTACTACAGGGATCATCACGCTTCAACAAAGGTTGAGCAGGTTTTTCCTGCCCAGTACTGCCTGCGACCACTGTCCGGTATTTCCCGGGAACGCCCAGGGGAGGTGGTCCTCGATGTTCTCTAAGATGGGGAGGTAGGGGGTGCGGTAGGGTGAAATTCCGAGGTAGGGGGGGAGGGGTGTCGTGAGGTGACGCAGAACAGAAAAAAAGGAAAAAAAAGAGAATGTACCATGGCAAATCAATGCTTCTGTCTCAGGCTTGATCCCTCGACCATAATAAAGGGAAGCCTAGAGTGTGTAACACTGTGTATAGTAGATGATATAAGGGACACTAGACCCGTTATTTTCCAGTCATATTAAAAAAAAAAAAAAAAAAAAAAAAAAAAAAAAAAAAAAAAAAAAAAAAAAAAAAAAAAAAAAAAAAAAAAAAAAAAAAAGAACGAGAAAACAGAAGTCTGACCAGAACAACTGAAGAACGACTTCCAACCCTCAGTTGTTTGATTTCAGACGTTTTGATAAATAAATAGAAAAGAAAAGAAAAGAAAAGAAAACTCTGAAAAAGAGAATGTATCATCATGGCATCTACACATCCTGCTACATGTCATGCATCTGGTCATTGTCGGTGTCCACGTTCTGACCAAGGTCGCCTGAATGAGGAAACTCCATGATTGACCCCATAAGAATGTTCCATGGTGTCGAACACATCCTGGTTCAGATCATGCACTTGTCCGTATGTTCAGGCACATTCTGACAGTGGCAATCATTACGAGGAAAAAAAATTATATATATAACCAGCACACACGACGAGCGGCAGCTGCTCCCTTTTCCCCACGGAAAGGAAATAAACTGCCTACATAAGGCGACTATACGCCGTATAGATTAAATTTGTCTTTTGACATGGGCTGCCGCCCGGGCCGCGCTGATCACATTGTTTGGCCGGGCGGCCATCTCACCTTGTAGGCCGAAGGCGGCATCACCCGTGCCAGGCCCAGGGAAAGGCCCAGGAAAAACAAATTCCAAAAAATCCGGAAAAAAAACTACAGAAAAATAAACTGAACAATTGAAATTCAAATAAAATTAAAATGAAAAAGTACTTTTTTTCCTTTAATTTTTTCTTTTTTTGGCCCGGCCGGGCAAGTTGCTCCGCGCCGCTCTGGTAGCCTAGCAAGTCTTTTGTCAAAAAAAAAAAAAAAAAAAGTATTTTGCACGTAGTGTACTTTATGGAATTTGGTCTTCAACAATAACCAGGTAGGTTGTGATTGATGATCGCAGAACACTGAAACTCAGAATCCTCTGCCGAGACCCCCCGCAAATCACACTTCATTGCTCCGACAACATACGTACGAAACGCAACCTACATAGATAAATAGCAGTTTTAATACGGAAGTGTTTCGAGCATCCCAAACCCAAAAGGTTCCCCACATACTACACATAGGTTTTCCCCAAAAAATTCCAGTAACTAGAGTAGAACTCCCGCTAAGTAAGATAACAGATCCCCAGCGGTGGGTGCTTCTACATGAGCTTCAGTGTAACCAAATATGAACCGGTACCATAGGTACTTTCACTGCAAAAGATGCAAAAAAAGCAATCCTGTCCTTCGGGACATCTGCTAAACTTGGACTGATACAGCGAGAGGAGAAGATCAGCATGGCCCCTGCACAAGGATGACACGCATAAATCAAGACATGGATTAACAAAAAAAAAAAAAAAAAAAAAAAAAAGCAAACTCGTGTTGCTCGTCATAATATTAAATATTATTAATATAATGAACACAAAGTTACAAACACTTGATAAAGTTGAGAGCTCTGCTCTGGTGAATTACTCACGTGGTAAGTGGCCGACGCAAGCAGGGTATGAAACGTGAACGTATCTGGCTTGATTCCCAGCGCGCTCATTTCCTGAAGCAGAGCAAGCGCCAGGTCCAATTTATTGCAGTGGCAAGTAACCTGCACGGAAAATGCCGAAGAAAGCAAGGGACGGACAAGCGGAAAGTGCAATCAAGAAAAAAGGAAAAACAGAAAGAGAAAAGGAAAACAGACAGAGATGCAAGGAAAATAAGCAACAACGAGATGACAATTCCAGATTGCACCATCACATTGAAAGCCAGATAGTCACACCGTGTCCAGAGAGCAGCATTGCACCAATAATACACCAATGGAGGTTCATAGTACTGAAAACCAATGTCGTGGAGAGCATACTCTCACCTCATCAACACAAGAGTCCAGTCCCTTCACTCTCCTACTTAGCGCTCAGCGCCCAGCCTACTCCTAACACACTACAGCCTACTAATTGACAATGCAACTGTTGACATCAGCAGCAACCCGAAGTACTTGAAGATGTCGCCCATGCAGACCATCGCCAATACAAGGTAAGTGCCCTCACATCATCATCATCATCATCCTTCACCTATCCCCTGACTTTACTCCCACGTCTGTCCTCTCTTACACCCGAAGACCACCCCTGCGCCTCACTGTACATCCAAGCCCAGCCCGCTATGAAGGCTGGCTATGGCGCTGCCCTCAGCAGCGCCCTGCTTCACCACACGACCGCACGTGCGCAGCCTCTTGCTCCCAATGCCAGCAGCCAGCCCGTGAGCTATCGCTCCAGCAGCGCTGCCGCCAGCCAGCAAGTGACCGAATGAGGCTGCCAGGGGTGAGCTCTTTCGTTTATGGAAAGAGCTGGCCTGCTCGCGCAGCCTGGTTGCACTGGCCTGGGCCCAGAAGCTTCCGGAAGGCCCCAGGAGGCTGCCTGTGTACAGCAGCTACTGGGCTGCTGGGCCTCGTTGTGGTTGGGCGCCCAACTGTCTCTGTATGAGGCTGCGAATCACGCCCAGGGCCTGCATCCTTCGGAAAGGCCCGGAGGCCGTGGAAATGTCTTTGTTGGCCGGCCTGTGTTTCTCTCAACCAACTGGCGCGTCGCAACTGCCTGGACCCCAAATATGAAATTGACAGTCGAGGGCCTCTTGCGATATGTCAGGCCCGCCTTCACTTAGGGCGGGCACCTCCGCCTTCACTTAGGGCGGGCAATGCTGTAAACAGGGCCCCATAGGCCTACCGAGGACCCTGAACCTCGCAGAGAGAAAAACCCAAATAGTTTTCACACACCGAAGTCCCGGCATAGGTCTATTATTAGTCCATCACTGTGTGTTTCAAATTGCATGCAATTTGGTTTCAAAAAACAAAGAAGAAAAAACTTCAACAAGTCCATCAATCTGTCCGTTTATCGGTCAGCTCATCGCCCGGTCAATACGTTCCTCTGTCCTTACAGTCTGCACACTCAACTGTTCACCCATCTGTCTGTCTGGCAGTATGTATCCATCCATCCATCCAGTTCTGTCTACTCGTCTGTGCGTCTGTCTCTATCTATTCATTGCTACCCTCCCTCCCTCCCCTCCCTCCCTCCCTCCGAGATGAGCACGTGGACAGTACCCTGCAGTTCTACCAACCTCTCTGGAAGTTACAGATCAACAAAGTGACCATTCATAAGCACTTTGGAATATTGTTGGCCTCCTACTACTGTCTTCACCCACATAGAACGCCCGGTCATTAATCGCTGCATCTGGACGCAAAGTTGCCCCAAATACAGCTATAATGAAGACGGGAGTGCTATCTTGCTGACCAATCAAACAGGGAATTTCCATCTTGCTAACAAATTAACTTCTCGTGTCAGTATCCACCAAGATCACCATCCCCTGATGCGTGTACTCCCTCCTCTGCCCCCCCCCCCCCCCCCCCTTTCTCTCTCTCTCTCTCCATGTCACACATATGAAATGTTTTAGAAATGAACCTTGCAGCCTGTACAGGCCATATGTGGAATCTTGCAGCACGTGTGGGACATACCGGCAACCTTGCAGCTTTGTGTGACAGAACTGAAACCCTGCAGCCTATGTGACGTGGGTGCAGTATTATGCCATTCGTTCTGTGTATTACTTCTTGCTCTGCCCCCCTCCCCCCTCCCCCCCCTCTCCCCTCTCCCCCTTCCGAATAGCCTTTCAGTTTGAGCAGCAGGAAGTTAGGATTTTTACGCAGGGAAACTTCCAGAAGGAAAAAGACTCTTCGCAAAAATATAATTATAAAAAAAAAGGAAAAAGAATGGAGTCATTGTCTGCATGAACGGACTACTAAATGCCTTGCCTGGGATCCTTCCCAGGCAGGACCTTGCCAGGAACCGTCCGTGGGACCATTATCTGACCAGGGACTTGCTCAGGACCAGCATTCTTCTCCCACGACCTTGCCCGGGACCAGTATTTGCCTGGGCCCTTAACCGGGACCATTGTTTGCCCGGGACCATTATTTTGCCCGGAACCTTGCCCTTCTTCTCCCACGACCTTGCCCGGGACCAGTATTTGCCTGGGTCCTTAATCGGGACCATTGTTTGTCCGGGACCATTATTTTGCCCGGAACCTTGCCCAGGACCACATTCCCCCAGGACTTTGCCAGGTGCCTTGCCCAGGACCTTGGCCTAGATCATTCGTTTCATCTGTGGACTAGTGGGCTACTTACAAGTTACTACCTAGTGGCCCTACAGATATGAGATGCAAGAATTGTGCTTGGCCGCCTTTGCATGATTTTGAAGATTTGGCAATGTAGAAGATACAACACAAGGAAAGAGGATGCCAATAGACCTTGTAGCTCCATCCGTTACACACATGAAATGAAATACAGACCTAAATCCAACCCCAATGAAACTCAGATGAGTAAATAACTCTGAATTTACCTCGGGCTGGTCAGTTTTTTTAGGGGGAGGGAAAAGGAGGTGGGCAGGGGAGGGGGGGAAGGAGACAAGGAAAGAGGATTTGGGAAAAAGGCAACTGAGAACGAACCTTTATGAGGGAGTTGTAGCTGATGATATCAGGTGGGATTCCCTTCTTCTTCATGCTATCCATCAACTCGAATGCGGTGGGCAGATTTTGGTTGTAAGAACAACTGTTGATGAGAGTGTTGTATGTAACCAGGTCAGGATCGCAACCCCAACCTTCCATTTTCCCGAAAATATCCAGAGCAAGCTCCACCTGTCACAGTCGACACCATCCGGACAAGAAAAATGAGTAAATACTAAAACTTAGTAAAAAGTTAAAACCAGTTGCCGATCAAAGGAGTACACAACTGGGAGCCTCTTTGCAAGAAGCACAACGCATCCGGAACGCGAAAAACAAAAACCACATAATTTTTTTGAAAATTTGAGATAATAGCAAATTTAATAAAGCAGCTCAAGCGGGCTAGCTCAGTTGGTTGAGCATGTAAGCGGCACTGAGGAGGTTGTGGGTTCGATTCCCAACGACCTCCTTTCGATCCCCCACGGCCTCCTGTGGTATGCTTGGAGTTCACTAGCGGAGATGGTTGGCTTGGGCCTCCTGGCTGGTTGTGGAAGTGATTTAGGCGCTTCCCAGCTGGCGCCAGGTGTGTTCGGCACCTACACCCCTAAGAAGAAGAAGAAGAAGAAGAAGAAGGAGAAGAAGAAAAAGAAGAAGAAGAAGAAGAAGAAGAAAGGAAGAGCCCACCTGTGTAGTTGAAGAAGAAGAAATAGTAGGAAGGGCCCACCTGTGTAGTTGCGACAGTCTAGAACTCACTGCACCCACGGCACAAGTTGCCAAGACCCCAAAGTACCACGGTTGCCGAGGTCCCAAGGTGAGTCCCAGGGTTCCAAAGGGTCCCAAGGTCCCATGCAAGGTTCCAAGGTGCAAGGGACCAAAAGTGAGTTGCAGGGTGCCAAGCTCCAAATATGCTGAACATAGGGGCCAAGTTGCACGGTGCCAAGCTGCAAAAATGGCTGGGAAGCTGCCCAGGACGAAAAGTGAGTTGCAGGTGCCAAGTTGCAAAAATGGCTGGGAAGCTGCCCGGGACCACAAGTGAGTAGTTGCACGGTGCCAAGCTCCAAAAATGGCTGGGAAGCTGCCCGGGACGAAAAGTGAGTTGCAGGGTGCCAAGCTGCAAAGATGCCAACATAGGTGCCAAGCTGCCAAAAAGCTGTTGGAACTTGTCGTCCGAAACTTGCTGTCGACAATTGACGATGCAAAGATGAGCAGCCCTCTACCTGCTCAGCCGCCTGCTGCTGCACACATCACATGCATTGAATCATTGATGTAACAAACATCTGTGTTGCTGCATGGGATCACGTCCGTGTTCAAGAAAGGCCTGTTGAAAGCGTCTGCTAAACCACCACTGCCGAGCACCCTATTTTTCGGTCAAACCCAGAAATTTTTCCGCGCCAACGGATTGAATCGGTTGACGCCACACCCATACATTGAAAGCGCAGCCTCCTTGTGTGCAGGATCGCAAGTTTCGGACGATGAGTTCCGACAGCTACGGATAAGCCACTGCCAGAACGTTTCCAAATTCCAAGCCATTTTTCTACAACCTGGGTGGATGCGCGCCGCGTCTGGTAGGATGTACCAGCCTGCCGCTTCGCAAAAAGCGCATCCACTGCCATCCAGGCAAAATGGGACTGTGCATACGATGCTATTTGCCTGGCTGTATTTTTTGTGAACTGGCATGCCGGTTTGTCCGGCGAGAAACACGGCGTGCATGCGTCGTAGAAAAAATGGCTGTGAAACATGCTGGTGGTTTAAACCACCAGTACATGCCAGTCATCGGCCGCGAGCCCTTTTCGGAGGCCGTCTGCCATCGATTCATTTTATCCACGGCGTGTGAGTCTCCGAAATTTTAGGAGAGGCTCAATCCGACGCTCAGCTTGGCTGGGGCCATGTACTAGTGCTTTAAAGTCTAAACCTTGGGGAAGTTGGGGGGGGAAAAAAAGAAAGGACAGAGTGAGAAAAAAAAAGCACTGTGCATGATGCGCACATTCCCTCTACCTGTTTGGCCTTTTAGGCTTTTTTTAAGTTTTTTTTCCCGTTCTTTTTTTTTTTTTTTTTTAATTATGATGTTCCTAGGGCAGGGGCATTTCTTTCTCTTTTAAGAAAGATCCATTTTCTACCTGTTTGGCCTGCACACAGGCATTGATAGCAATGTTGCATGTGAGTGTGCTCAGGAAAGGCCTGCCCGAAGCGTCCATTAAATCTTGCACCGAATAGATCCGATTCAGCATAGCATCCAGCATACCCTCATGTCCAAGCGTATGTACCTGCAGAAACCATTCGCCACAAAACAGAGACAAAAAAGGAGGGAGGCGTCGTCAGTGAAAAAAAAAAACAGAAGAAAGATCAGTGATCACAACATGACTGAAAAATATTATCGAGTCATTAACACAATCAATAGTGCCACAGCCCACAGGCAAACAGCTCTGCTGCGCCCGAGCACTGCCTCTGTTACAAAACCCATTGAGGGCATAGGGCTTGACGCCACCTTGCCTAGATACATTCAGAATGTTGTCCGGTGGAGCGCGGCCCATAGTCGGTCACTCCCAAAAGGAGTTTCTTGCACGCATCTACCCGCAATTCCATTCCAACCAGATTCAACCCGAAAGAGCCATCATAACATGAGCATCCATCAGTACGCCTGTCCCAACACTTGAATTGAAGTTGGCGAGACACAAAAGAGAAACACATGCAGGAAAAAAGGTATAGGTAGAAGTACATAACATACTTGCGGCGCACCTATGCGGTGCGCTGAGCGGTGCGCTGTGCGCACATGGGCGATGCATGCGCACGTGCGCAGCGCACGCGCATGGAGGATGCGCTGGAGTACGCAAGGCTATCCCCCATGCGCACGCACAGGGGGATGGGATGTTTGTCTTTTTCCCTTTTGTCTGTGTGTGTGTGTGTGTATGTGTGTGTGTGTGTGTGTGTGTGTGTGTGTGTGTGTGTGTTGTTTTAAAAGWCCCCAGATTCTCTCTCTCATTCCCTTCACAAATCATCACAAGCCATTCATAACGAAAAAGTTTAGATAGGCCATATAATAGAAAATGAAAGATTGCTGTGTGTGTGTGTGTGTTGTTTTAAAAGACCCCAGATTTTCTCTCATTCCCTTCACAGATCATCAGAAGCCATCCGTAACAAAAAAGTATAGATACGCAATATAATAGAAATGCAAGGTTGCCCACGTTTGTGTGGTTCAGCGCCAAGTGGCCACAAACCCGTCTGCTGGCAAAGCGCAACACTTGCACATATACATATCATACTTGCGGCGCATCCCATGCGCGCCACTTGCGCACATGCGGCACACTGCGCATTGCGCATGTGGCGCGCGCACCCGGTGCGCTGCATAGGCAAAATTCCGGGTCAAGTTGGTCAACCAAAAAAAAAAAAAAAAAGTTGGGGAGAGGGTGAATCGAAGTTCCCACGCCCAGCTAAAATTCGGACATCGCCCGCGCAAATTTTTTTCAGGGCCGCACTGCCCCAAAAGCTCGGTGTTTCGTCATGTTTGCTGTACACAACTCCATGCTACCTCCAGTGTATCCGAGTCCTTTCAGAGGTCCAATACAGTCATGATGAGGACGCGTCTGTGGAACCGTTGCTCTCCTGTCAATGGCTGTCATTACTTCCAGGTATAGAAAACGACAGAACTGACAGTTGTGTTTCCTTGGTGCTTTTGCTAAAAAAAAACAAAAAAGAGAAAGAGAACGTCCGTGACATCCTCCTGGGGCGTGGCTCCATTTTCGGACAACGGATACTCCTGACACTGACAATAGGCCTCACTCCCCCTTTTTGGACAACGGATACTCCTGACAATGGGCCTCGCTCCACCACTCTCCAAATGTGCAAAACGAGAGTGAATCTTCCCCTAGAACAAGGACATATACATCGCCATGTTGTTTGTCTTGTGTGCATTTCCGGAGCAGTGCAGCAACGCCCTAAGACCCTTCTAGACTCGGCTATGGGCGTGATTCCAGGCATCATTGCCGTTAGAAAACTCCTATCTTCTTCCCTCGAATACAACGTATGGTCATTATAGCTGTCTCTAGACGCAAAGATGCCTCAAATACAGCTAATATTGTATTCGGGGGAAGAAGGTAGTGTCAGGAGATACGAGATGGCCCCCGGGCTGTTTTTTTTGTTGTTTTTTGCTTTTGTTTTTCCAGACATACATAGTTGTCTTTTGCCATTCTTCTGACACTGCCAATCATGACTGTATGTGACCTGATATTAGAGTAGGATACATTTGGGGCAACACTGCCCTCCATACAGGGCGGGAACTTGGAGGGCGGGAACTCGGATCCAGGGCAGCGTTGTCTCCTCGAAACTGCTGCTGCTCATGAATGTATCCGGCCTGGCAATTAGAAGGATACATTCGAGGGCAATGCTGCCCTCAATCAAAGTTTACGACTGCACTACACACACACACATACACACACACACACACACACAAACAAAAAAAAACAAAAAAAAAAAAAAAGGAAGGCCCGCGCACCAGCGAAGTTGCGCCCTGCATGGTGTGCTGCACCTGTACGCGTTTTGTGCGCGGTGTGCGCACGTGCGCTCACATCTCAGATCCGCGCACGGCGCAAGGCGCACTGCACTGGTGCGCCGCAAGTATGATACATATGTATACATATATAGTCAAACAGAGCTGCCCAGTAAACCGTAGGCAGAGAGGGAGAAGAGGACAACAAACACGGGGCTGTGACAAACTCTTTCGTCGGAGTTTCACCGACTCATCAGGCGGCTGAACCCTCAACATTCTGCAGAATCCCCTAACTGATTACACTGTAAGTGATAACCCACCTTAACCCCGGCTGTGGTTAAGCATCAACGACTACCCGACAACTGATACTCTGAGGTGGGCACCGACCACTGCCCTCACTATGGTTTACCGGGCAGCTCTGTTTGATTATATATACCACGACTTCTCTAGCACCCTGCTACGGTTTTCTCCGGCCAGGTCGAGCGGGAGTGGTCGGGGCCATCACTACGCGGCCATGGTGTGCCTCTAGTGCCAGCGGTGTGTCTGGAGTGTATTTTTTGACTGTGACAGACCTTTCTTTGTTTCATGGGTATTTTGCTTGCTTGTGATGGGGTGTAAACCGACAGTCTGTAGAGTTTTCCATCTGGTGTGGGTGAGTGATAGTCTGCTTTGATTTTCGTCACAAGTACCTTGAAGGCAGTGGTTGAAGCCTACCTCAGGGTACATATTTCAAACCATAAGCGGATGGAGGGTAGAAGGCAACTTACCTAAGACAGAAGACTGCTCCAGCAAGAAGGCACCGACCCGACCCCCTGGAGAGCCTTCTGCATCGGCCCACAAAACCAAGAACTCATTTATAAAAAAGAAACAAATATAACAGCATTGGCATTCCCGACATTCATCTCAAACTACACACTCGCGTCACTGCCAAAGAGGAGGAAGAAGATAAGAGATAACTTACCTAAGACAGAAGACTCCAGCAAGAATGCACCGACCCCCCCTACTAAGGGTCCGAAAAAACTGAGAAAGCCTTCAAAGTGTGTGTGTGTGTGTGTGTGTGTGTGTGTGTGTGTGTGTTTTAAAAATTGCACCACAACAGCCCCTGTTCCATCCAGACGAGTAGACACGAGTTGAGCCAGCTCAACAATTAAAGAATTTCACCTCTTTAGCAAGCAACGTGAATCATAATAGAAGTGTTTCGAACTGGGTTTAGCTGGGGTTTCCTCAGGGCAAAAGCTCCTCTTTTATACCTCAGACATACAAGGCTGCCCACGTTGATGGTGGTTGAGCGGCAGCTGCCCACATCACAGTGTGCCTTAACGGCCCACTTGCAGGAGGCAGAGTAAAAGGGAAGGTATGCTCCTATGCATTTCTCTTCAGATCTTCATACTACTGTTCATTTCACTTCAGATCTTCAGCTTATACTTAGTCTTTGTGTCTGTCCTTCACCTTCATACTTCCATTCATTTCACTTCCGATCTTCATATCGTCTGTTCTCTCAACGATGCCCATTCCTATGTATTTGCTAGTAGCACAAAAGGGGAGCGTGGAGGGGAGGTGGAGGGAAAGGGATAGAAGGCGGAGTTCTATAGGAGTGTGGGGTAGGGGAGGTGGAAGGTAAGGGGCAGGAAAGAAACATGTGAAGGTCAGGATAGAGTATGACATGCAAAGGGCAGGGAAGAGGTGTATGACAAACTTTGCAGAATTCTAAACACGCACCACTGGAACAGAATACTCTAGAATGGTACAGGGTTGCAAAAAAATATTTTTTCGTTGAGAGCAGTTATTGCCTATGGTAAGTGGCCCCACCCCTAGAGACCAGACAGGACCGGTTCGGGTGTGGACTATGGAAGCACCGCATCCCATTTTCGCAGTTACAATTGCTGCGTCGAATGGAGCAGCGCAGACAGATGTCACAGGCTACGTGGCTCCTACATGCTAGGAACACAGAGGCATGTCGACCGCAATTATAGAGGCATTGCCGTTCCAGGGGTGTGTGTGTGTGTGTGTGTGTGTGTGTGTGTGTGTTTGTGTGTTTGTGTGTGTATGTCTGTGTGTGCAGTGTGGCCCCTGTGCGTCAAGAAAGACCGGAAAAAAAGAGAAAAAATAGGCATTGTCCCGCGCACTGACAGTACCCTGACGAGGGCAAAAGGCCGCCATCAACGGATACAAGCCCTTTTTCTTTCTTTCTTTCTTTTCTTCAAAGGGCGACTGCAGGCGCGTGGGAACGAATCTGGCTTCAATCACAGCGAGATATGGATGAATTTGACCGCAATCGCGCCTAGCGCGTTGCCAAAAAAGGCCTGGTGGGTGTATGCCAGTGGAGGACACAACGGCCGGTTTCCGAGGTCAGAGAGCGTTGAGGACACAACGGCCTGACGCTCCACTACTCACCACATGCACAAAAGACAAAAAATATGGCTGTGTATCTGTCCGCGTTCTAGTGGAAGATTCATTTTCATTTTGCACATTTGGTGAATACTGGAGCGAGGACAGAAGTGACGAGGGCGCATGGTGTACACTTCTTTTTCGTTCTTTTATGTGTTTTTCTCAGTAGACAACGGCCCCATTTGAGACAGAGAGCACCATCATCATCAGTGTATCAGACTTGGAAAACAGCCTGCATACGTTTGTGAGCATTTATGCTCCCTCATCAACGTTCACGAGTTCGTGAACTTGGATGACGGGGCGTTGTGTCCTCGAATGAACACTTGTGACGTCCCAGGCCCGATACAGTCATGATGAGCGTTCCTGGTGTTAAGGAAGTTGGCCTTCTTTTTTTCTCTTTTTCTTCTCTCTCGTAACTCCCGTCAACAGAATCCAGTTGGTACACTTTCTTTTTTGGCCCTAAGCGCGGCGGCAAAAAACAATTGCCTGTGGCTGTTTCTATTTTCTTTGGCGCAAGGGAGAGGGATCCTATCATCCCCTACCCCCTGGCCCCTCCCCCCCCACCCCCCTTTTTTTTTTGAGGAACCCCGATCTTGACCGTGCAGCGCATGCTGTGCGCAATGCACCGTGCAGCGCATGTGCCCGACTGGCGCGCACTTTATGCGCCGCAAGGATGGTAAATAACCATGCTGATGGAACAACCCTGCAAGGAATCAAACCGGCGACCTTGGGCTAAACAGCCAGACGCCTTAAGCTGCATGTACACGTCCCCAGCCCTGCAGACAAAGCAACTCGTCCCCACTGCACTGTAGCAATGGCTCGGCCTACCGGACCACAATGGCTGGTGGCGCCAGCCAGAAAAGAAAAATAAATGTGCTGCTGCCGGTTCGGAAAGGCTTGGCGTGCACTGCGGCGCCTCCAGGCCCGGGTGTACTGGTGGTTTAACCACTGCAACCGCGACCCGGTGTTCAAAAGTGGAGCCGTACTGGCCGTGATATCCACACCACCTGTGCACGGTTGCAGTATGCAGGCACACTCTCCACACACTGCATCCTCTGAAACCCTCTTGCAGACGACTAGCCCTGCTCGTAGCCACCAAGTCCACCTATTAGTTCCCGGCCAGTTGCTGCACAAAGTGTTAAGTATATAACCATGCTGTTGAAAAGATCCTAATTGAAGCCACATCTGTGACATAAGGGCAATTATGTGAACTTGCACCTGACCTGTGGTGCTGACATGGAAACCGTGCTGAGCCATCATCGCACGTTCCACTTTATTTCTGTAAACACAGAATCTTGAAGGGGAGCCCAAAACAAACAAACAAAAAAGACAGCACTGAACCGCTGCTCCATGCAGGTGGCGCACATGGGACATGGGTCAGAATGCTCACCAGTGCAGAGAACGTCGCACGCGTGTGTTTCACGCCAGACTTCTCCATGTCTTCCTCCAGAGCCAGGACCCGCTTCCCAACTTCTGTTCGCGACCAACTCCCCCCAACCACTCCTGACACATGCGCGCGGCCAAACGCCGAAAAGAGTGACACATACGTGTATTCGTCCGGGGCAACTCCATGGTTCTTCATTTTTGCAAAGATCTGCAGAGCTCGCACTGGATCGCCCTGCACGCCGGAACCTCAGAGGCTCAGAGTTAGCTAGTAGGATTCAGAAGTTTTCTCGCTTGGGAAGATGCTTCCCCTCCGGAAAGATACAAGGAAAGGGGGGTAACTGACGATGGATTCTGCTCAAAAGGTAGGGTAGTTACGCACGGAAGTACATGGCGGTATTATGGCCTAAGTAAAGAACTTTCTCAATCCACACCCAACTCCATCAAGATACAAAGTAAGAACAAAAAGCCAAAAATTAGTCATACCAACTGGCCTAGCTCAATTGGTACACCACACATGAAGTGTTGAAAGCTGAAACACAGACCTGAGTTCGAAGCAGATTAAAAACTCTGAATTTACCTGAGGGCCAATCAGTTAAAACTTCAAAGATGGTATCTCAAGGCTGTCTCGCCCTTTTTTTTCTAAAAAAAAAAAAATGAAAGCAAGAAAAAAAAAAGAGAGAGAGAGAGAGAGAGAGAGAGAGCTGTCTCTTATACACATCTAGA